CAATTACGACTGTCTGCAATTAGTAGAGTAGAGTCAACTTCCTAGACGAGCACTAATGCACGCCGCCGAGCAGGGCTACTTCGACATGCCTCTTTGCTCTAGCAAGGAATGGAATTCCAAGAGTCTCCTGTCCTCATTTTTGGCGTCCTGCATCTGCACATCTTACTGGCGAGCAAGACCAAACTTTCAAATCACCAGGGGATTCGTTCCACATGGATTCCGCCGCGGATAGATTATCCGTGGCCTTGGGACTGGCTAGCAAGAAACAGGTCAAGCCCATCCTATCGTATCAAGAAAAGGCCGCGCCCAGGAGCCTACTCCGGGGCTAGCTCTCGGAGGAGCCGTAGTGCGTCCCAACGAAAGAAGATGGCGTGGTTAAAATCATCGGCGCCGCTAGCTTGCACGCACCCAGACGTTACTCGGACACGATGACATCGAATGCCAACTCCAATCCTGAGAAACTTTTGACACCGTTCACTCGACGGGGTCTGGATGATCTCATGGCGTCATGGAGGATGGCGACAGTGGCTGGAGCTGAAGTGAGGCCTGCTGTCCCTCCCCACCGCGCCGCCTACTCCTACCCCGGCCTGTTCAAATTCGAGGGACCTTGACGGCTGGAACCAAGCAGCTGCTCAAGCCACGAGCTGGCATCAGCCATGCCTGAGGGAAAACGCCTCAAGCGAAGCCAAACAACCGGCCCCGAGCCCTCCCAGAGGCCTGACGAAACCACGCAACGCCCTCCCTCGCAGCCATGCGTCGTCCAGGGACTCAATGCCTGCAATTGGTCCCAAGAGACGAGTGTGTGTGGGGGGCTGGCCCTGCCCCCCCGCCGGGGCCGAGCTGCTGGGGTCGGAATAGGTCTTGCTCACGCCTGGGAGCCAGCCAGCGAGCCAGCTAGCCGGGGCCCGGTGGACCTGCAAGTTAAAGGGCTGGCCGCCCCCGGGCTAGGGCGCGGCGATGATGCCGCCAGAAGGAAAGAAGCTTTGTTTGAGAAGTTCTCTAGCTGAGCTGAGATGGGAGAGGACGACAAATTGGAAGGAGAGCCGAGCTAGAGTACGTGGTAGAAGGGCGCGGCGCCGGGGGAAAGAAGATAAGGCGTGCCTAAAGCTCTTGCCCGCTTGGGGATGGAGGCCTGGCTTCGATGCATGATATGATGATGCATAAGAGGTTCGGCGGACAGGGGCCCAGTCA